TATATATATAGATATAGATATAGATATAGATATAGATATAGATATAGATATAGATGGATATAGAGTTAAATTACAGGGTATTCGTTTGCCATACTCCGTCACCTACTTAAGCAAATAAAACTAGTTGATTCTGCGATGTTTTTGCGTTTCGAGACACGTCATTTATCATTTATCAGAGGCCTTTTAGCGTTCGGCTTAATTGACTTCTTCTGCAGTGCAGAAATTGTTGTGCCCATAGACTGGCACAGAAAAGAACTTTTGAAGTCAACCATCAGACAGCAGCCAGCGGGCATCGGGCAGCGGGCATCGGGAAGCAGGCATCAGGCATCATCTTTTAAGCAGCTATGTGTTATGGCCAATACCAATTGGCCATAGTGCGGAACATTTTGCTTCATTACGTCAAACCATTTCGAGTCTTAGCCATGGAGCGAGCAGCGATCGCTCGCTGGCTAGCTGGCACTGCAGAACCGTTTTAATTAGATGTAACCATAATAAATCAACAACAACTACAACGAATGTGTGTGTGTGTCGAAGCGTGAGCCCAGGACACTTTTTTTGTTCCCATAAGCCACAAGACAAATGACGAGTGCAAGACCAAAGAACAACAGCAGCGAGACCGAGAGGAGAGAGGAGAGAGAAATTCTCTGGCATTCCCCAAGTTGTTGCTGGCATTATGTAATGGCAGCTGTGCAACAGTTGAGCAACAGCTGAGCAAATGAGCACTTGACATGCGAGACTCCACTTTGCAAACTCAAAATATTCACACAAAACTCTGGCAGCAAGTTCACGAGCTTCGTGAAGCTTGAATCCTTCAAACAGTTAGGTTTTTGGCGGGGCCAAATATTATAATAGATGGGTATATTAAGTGGGATAACTGGGAAATAATTGATTCTAGTCTGAGAAGAATTGTTCAGGAGAGATGAGAATACTTTTGGCAATGCAGCTAATTTATGGGTACTTGAAAAGGTTTAGGGGTGTGGCAGAAAGGAGAATAGAGAAATTAGATTGTATCCAGAGTTTAGGAAACAAATAAGAGTGAAAGAGACAGAGAGAGAGAGAGAGAGAGAGAGAGACAGAGAGAGGGAGAGAATAAAGACAGCTAAGAAAATGACAGATTTGGAGATATATATAAATAGAGAGGGAGAGTGAGTCAGAGAGTGAGAGAGAAATTGAGTGAGATAGAGAGAGAGGGGAGAGAGCGAAAGGGAGATTGCAGGATATACAGAGAGAAAGAGACTGAGAGAAAGAGAGAGAGAATGAGAGAGGGAGCTAGAGAGATACATAAAGGAAAAGAAAGAGACACATAGAATGAAAAAGAAAGAGAGACAGAAACAGATGGAGTAAGAGAGAGGGTGACAGAGAGATAAAAATGTAAAGAGAGATATTGAAATAATGAGAGAAGAGGGAGAAGGAGAAAACGAATGGGGAATATACCTAAGTATACTTAAAATCAGTTTGAAGGAGATTGATAAGGAGAAATAGATGATGGCAAATAAAGACTCATAAAACGTGAGAGAGAGAGAGAGAGAGAGAGAGAGAGGGAGAGAGAGAGAGAGAGGGGGAGAGAGAGAGAGAGAGAGAGGGAGAGAGAGAAATGGAAAGTTGTAGACAGGGACATTTACGAAATTGAAAAGAAACAATGAGAAGGTATAACGAGAGATTTTATTGTATAATCCAAACTGGAACTGGACTCTATTTGCCTTTGCAGCCATGAAAATATTCGACTGCCTTGTAACTGGCTTCAGTTTAGTTTACATTTCAGCTCTTAAATATTGAATTCTCATGGCATTTTTTACTGTAGTCATACGTGTGCATATAGAGAAAGAAAATCACAGACAAAGTGGCTAAGATAAGATCATATGAGATCAGCAGTGCATCAGTAGCAGCAGCTTCTTTTGGCCAATGCCCGGTTGAATAGTTCGATTCAATGGCCAAATGAGATGATCCTCAGGGCGCCAGCGAATCAGTTAGATGGTTCGTTTAATGGCGGGCAATTGCGATTTGATTTGGTGGCATCTAATGACACAGATTATGCAACGATATAAGCCAATGATATGGACTAGTTTAGGCCAAAGTGCGCTTGTCGTTCGTGTTGTTGCTGTTGTTGTTGTTGTTGCTTTGTTTTTGGCTTCAAGCTGAGGCTTAACCCACATTCGTGAGGCGCGTTGCCAGCTACCATTTGACAAACGCCTCAGCAAACGCCAAATGCAAATTGCAGTCAGTCGTTGGCTTACTCTCGCTCTATCCCTCTCTTTCTCTCTCACACACTCTCTCTCTCTCTCTCTCTTACTCTCTCTGTAAGCCTGTCTGCTCCTGTGCTCATGCAATTTTCTTGTTGAAACCCTACAACATTGCACTTGGACTTGGACTTGGACTTGAACTTGCGAATTTGCTGGTCGCAGCAGCAGCAGCAACAGCAGCAGCAGCAACACCAACGCCAACAGCAATCAGCGGCAAGTGAATGAGCTTAAATTGTCCATGGCCGTGCGAGAGAGATAGAAAGAGAGAGAGAGAGGGGGGCAGCTAGCTAAGTTGGGTCTGCAGCTGCATTAGCCGCAGCGCTTAGATGATGGTTGGCTGGCTGGCTGGCTGGCTGGTTGCCTGACTTGCCAGATTGTTGCATGTTGCTGCCTCAACGCCCTCAGTACGTTATTATGCGGCTGTTATTGTTGCAACTAGTTGCTGTTGTTGTTGTCTGGTCGCTCGTCTGTGGAGCATCAAGGCACTGGGGCAGCGAGGCATCAAGTTCGCAACGGGCGACAGCCACAGCACGCATACCCCAACGATTGCTGCTGCTAGAGAGAGAGCGAGAGCGAGAGCGAGAGCGAGAGAGAGACAACGACTAAGACGGATGCAGAGCAACCGCAGTTACTTTGGCTAACACACACACACACACACACTCAGCCTCACACACACAAGCGAACTGCATAGACGACAAGCCTCAATTAAGTTGCAATTGCCGTTGTTGTTGTTGTTGTTGTTGTTGTTCTAGTTGTTGTTGTTGCTGCTGTTTGGCGTTGGCGGCGTAGGAATTTTGCTCGCTGCTGCCCACGCGTTGCTGCTGTTGCTGCTGTTGCTGCTGCCAGTTGCTGCTGCTGATAAAGTCCAAAATGATGTACTACCTTCTGCTGGTGGCTTGCTGGCTTGTGTCTCAGCTTTAAGCAGCAGCAGCAGCAGCAGCAGCAGCAGCAGCGCAGAGCAGGAGCGCAGCGCGGTTGACTTCAAGGGGCCCAACAGATCAACACAGTTATATAACAATAATAATTATAATCATAATTATCATTTAAATGGACTATAGAAAAGCTATAAACTAAACCATATATAGATATATATTAAGATAATATTAAGGGAAATGTATATGATATATGATATGAGGATCAATAGGACAAATGATCTGTTATAATACACAGGTAGATGAACGGATACATAGATATATACATATGTATATATAGATAGGTGATAGGAGTATATCAGATATGTAGGATAGATAGAAAACAAATAAATGGATAGTTTAATATATGGCATATATCCTATAGATATATCCATAGATAAATGCATATAATTTGATCATAGCGTATGTCTCTTTAGATTGAAATATGTATGTTATATAATATAGTAGATGGATATAGAAAATAAGCCTGAGAGGATCTCCAACACTTCTCGAGATATCAATCTTTGAATATGTATATTGACATCGCTCTAGATAGTTAGATCGTAAGCCTGTCCAATTGATTCTGAGCTCTCACTCTCACTCTCAACCTCCTCCTCATAGCCCTCCTCGTTCTCACAGGCGTCAAGGCGCTGTGTAATGTCGTGGAACAGATCGTCACAGTACTGTTCCAGCTCCTCGACTTCCAGCTCGAACTCACGTATCTCATAGTTCAGCTGGCGACAGCTCAGAAAAGTTCTAAAGATACCGCCCTTGTATGCGAAGTGAGATTTAACGATGCGTCTGGCATCAAACTTGCGGACCTTCCTCTTTTCATAAACAGCGCAGCGCCTATTACAAAGAGGCAGGTCCTTGACCACCTTCAGGAACCATTCCTTACATTGTTGCATGACATCGACCAGTTTGCGAACACGTCGATTCTCCTGGCACATCTGACGCCGCATCTTGCTGAGCAGCGTGCGCACCAGACGGTAGTTGCAGAGCAGCTCATCGATCTCGCATTGCAGACGATGGTGGGCGTGCTTTAGATTGCGCACCCCAAGCTCCTCCTCAGGGCTGAGGACAATGTGGAACGGCTCGTCCATGGGCAGCTCGTTTGCGGCCAGCTGTTGCTCATACGCACTCAGTACCCTCTTGACCTTCCTGGTAATGCACTTCTTGAACTGAATGACGCCCAGCTCGGGCACAGGCGTACCCGACGACGAGTCCTGCTCGGTAGTGGCGTAGCTCATATCGGAGCCCCGCGCATAGTCCTGACGGTGCTTGATGGCCAATTGCATGTGCTCGATGCGGCGTATTAGGCAATCTATTTCACCGACTAGCTTCAAGGTGCGTTCCTCGTCATCGGTGCGATCCATGCTCAATGGATGATCCAGGCTCAGTTCTTGCTCCTCCTCGCCGCTGGCGGTAGTGAAGCTGACCTCTTCGTCATAGTGAAAGATCTCGATTTTGCGACATCTGATGCGATGGGTCAGCAGATCCATATAATCAATGGGAATCTTGTCGCAGTTAGCCATCTGCGCAATCAACTTATCCCGAGAGTCCTCAAGTACCACCGCCATTTTGCCTATGCACCGTGCTCTCTCTCTCTCCTCTCGTCTCTATCTAGATAAATGCGTTTATATTGATTCTAAGCCACTTCAATTGCAATAAGAAGCGCGTTGTGTGCTTCAACTATGACTGAAATTTATTTGTGTTGTGATTCGTAAACTTGTTCCACGTCAAATGACTTCGACTAGTGCCCCGCTCGACTGCTCAGCTCGAATTTTCGGGTGGCTAGATCACAGTTTTTTTTGAGTACGCTCCTGTGCTTTCACTACTGGCGGGCTGATAAGAAAATTTATGGTTAGTCTGTTGCTGTGGCGGCATAATTGCGCACCCACATTCACATGAAGAGCCACGGGCCTTCGGGCCTCGCCATGCTTTGGCGTGTGTCTCAGCTTCGGGTCGAGTTGGTCCGAGCGGTGTCCGCCTCTACACGCCGTCCTCTGCTGCATCCATCTGTTCCATCTCTTTGGCAGTTGACTTTGTTTACCCGCAAGTTGCAATTTTCTGCGAAACCATCAGCCGCAGAATTGCTTTCTGCTGCCGTCTGCTGATAAGTCCCGCTTCTGTAGCAGCTCTCTCGCTGTCTGTCTCCCTCTCACCCGCTCTGACTACTTTGTTTTCCTTCTTTTCTTTTTTTACCAGCTCCCATCTAGTAGTGCTAGCATTTGTGGCATTGCAATTGGGCATCGGCTGAGGTTCGAGATTTACTTTGGCTTTGACTTTGACTTTGGCTCTTGCTAATTGCTTTTCAAGATTTCGGGGCTAGGGCGAACGACAACGAGTGCCCGCAGTGTTGTATAATAATGTAATGTGCTACTCCTTGGGCCACTGTGCAGATCTCTGTTGACAGGCTTTTAAATGCCCGATCGCGCTGTCACACTGCGGAATTTCGCAGGCCCACTGCAAGCCCAGTGCCAGAGCTGGCCAAACGGGGTCACTCCTCGCCCCGCCTGCCCCACGGCTCTGCCAGCTCCGGCGTTGAGTGACTGTTGTCTGCACGTCACATCGGCCACACTTCTCTCTTTGCCATAGGCTACGACTTTTTTTTTTTTTTTCGGTAATGAATTGAGTTGCTAGAGCTGCTGTTTGAGCTGGCTTGCGGAGGTACACAAAATTCATGTGGGTTGCGCCTCTTAAGAGATTGTCAGCTGCATTATGCGAATGCTAATTGAAAAATCTGTGCAGCATAAAAACCACAGACCGAGCAGGAATAATGACTCGGGTGATAGACAAGCGGAGATTAAGAGCTGGGAAAATTTAACGTCCCTAAACGAGCCTATGCCTTGACTAAGTTAACTAAGATCGATTCGAAACTGTGAGCTAACTAAGCTAGAAGTTAGTTGGCTCTCGCCGGATTGAGGAATTAGTTGATATTGTGAGCAGGAATCGATTGCCTAGGCTGGAAGTAAGCATCGACTCGAACGGTGTTTGAGCGGGGACTAAGAGATGAGAGAATAGGAGCTTAATGTATGATTGATTAGGGATCGGAGCATAGTCTAAGGTCTGTCGAGGAATCCAGAATGAGTTTATAAAGGACTAATCCAGCAACGAGAGTTAGCTTGATATTCGAGCAGAGACAGCGATGGGAACTGTCTCTTGAGTTGAGTAGAGACAAGACGAGTTAGGACTCGTCATTTGGGAAGGGTCTAGGATAAGGATAAAGAGTTGAGCTGAGCTTCTAAGCTGAAAGTTAGATTAGGTGCTTAGCAAAACTCTGCGGCTCAGCTGGACTTGTGAGCATAAAGAGTTGTTAGATAAGCAACTACGCGTTCTGCCGAGACAGGCAGGAGCATGGCGCCTAGGCAGTCGGAGGTAAAGAGTTGGTGCACGTGTGGGAACTTGGAACACTCTAGCAGCGCTTGACTATGGAACTCAGTGGACAGCTAAAGTAAGACGTAAGGCGGAATACAGGTACTTAGACTGGGTTGAGCTCAGGGACAGCAACAAAGACTTGGCTTAGGGAGGTACTAAGTTTAAAATGTTATGGCAATGTCAACTAACATGATTTGTTTCTTGCGGGCAATGGAAGGCAAACTGCCAACTCATTGTCCGTCCGATAGTGTTGAGCTGTACTTTTGGGTTCTCACTAATTTGTGCAGAGGCTTCTTTCCAGTTCGTGGGTAAAAGACCGACCCAATGGCCAGGGGAAAGGTGACGAATGCGAGACGAGAGAAAAAAAGGTAGAACTGTACCGCTAAAGCGGCTAATCACATCATGGCACCACAACAGACCCCACCCAGTGCACAGTGCCCAGTGCACAGTGCCCAGTGCTCAGAGCTTAGAGCTTGTGAACTGCCACAGCGATCGCTGGTCATGCAGGAAGTTCAAGTGCGAGAGAGAAATGCCCAATGACATGTGCGATTGTGAGTTATGTACTCACAAGCCGCTGGCAGTGGCAGTGGCAGTGGCAGTGGCTGTGGCAAGTCCCAGAGACCCCACCAGGTTCAGCTCGACGGCGATGGGCAAATAGAAAAAGCGAGTAGCTAAATGCAATATACATTAGATATACTTAGAACGAGGCTGTAGAAAATTACGATTTATGTAACAAGTCGAAGAATCTGAGCGCACTTATTTCCGCATCTACAGCTGGCAAAAAAATGGCCAAGGAAAGAAAAGCAAGGCAAAGAAAAGATTATACATATATATATATATGTATATAAATAAATATAGAAAAAAAGTACAGATGGGTCGGCGGAGTGGGGAGATGTTGAATCGCTCGTAATAGTCGGTAAGTCAGTCATTCATTCAGACAGATTGACTTTGAGACGGATAGACGCAATAGACAGTCACAGTCGTCGTCGAGTCAGTTATTAAATGTGACCATAAAAGCGACAGAGGGAGAGAGAGAGAGAGAACGATAGAGAGGGAGATGAGAAATAGAGAAAAACAATACAGAATCCCAAACACAAGACACAAACGCTGCAGATCGTAGCTAAAGTTATTACATAACAGGCCGACAGAGCTGCAGCTACAGCTGGGTGCTGACTGGAGCGATGAGGGAGCCGGGCTGAGCTGAGGCGGCTAAGGCGGTAAGACTTATAAAAATCATAGCACTGCGCGAAGCGTAAAAGCAAAGAATTATAATTTTCCAATCAACTGATAAATTTTTAATGATGCAACTGGCGACGATGCAACGATGACGATCGACTTAGATGCTGGCATCGAGAGAAGCTAGCACCACGGCCAGAGGGCAGGGGCGGTTCAGTGTGTATAGTGCGAAAGACCTGAGGAAAATGTTGTTCAAAGTGCATGCTGGAATTTTTCGACGCTGCCTCATCGCATTCGCCGTGGCATTGGACATGTGTAAGAAGCATTCCCATAGGTGTGATTGCTGGCGCGCAAGAACAAGTAAAACACCAAATTACTGTTACTGGGCATTACACACACACACAAACACACAGGGAGAGAGGTCGGGTGGAAGAGGCAACTCTCTAATGCACTTGGCTGCAGGCCATTGGCATTGGGCTTTTGTGACTCTCGTTGCGGACCACAGAGTCGCCGTGATCGATGATGAGCTGATGATGCGGTTGACTGCCTTCAGAGTGCAGCCGTCGAGCAGAGCCTCAGATGCTGGCACTACCGACCGACACTGACTCTCCAAGCTCAGCTCCACACACTCGCCTCACCAATGTCCAACTGCCCAACTGTCCAACTGTCTAATGTCCCTCGTCCGCTGTCCGTTGTCCGTTGTCAGTTGTCGCTTTCGCACTTGCTTAGCCCGACGACTGTCCACGACACATTTCTCATGCAAATAACAAACACCGCCTTGCCGCTGCTACTGCTGCCACGGCCTGGGCTATTGACTTGCCCCATCTCGATGGTCGATGGTCGATGGTCGATGGATATGCAAGAAAGGTGCTTGTCCACACAATATCTGCTACATTATGCATTAGTTACTTGGCTAAATACTCTCCGAAGGGAAGCCGGCTAAAATCACGGCGGGCGCCGAGAGAAGAGTAGAGCAGAGGTGAGCTAGCTGTTAGGTTGAGTATGGAAAGTCGAGGCATGCCTAAATCAATTTCTATTTTAGTTTAACTGATATGGATACTTGACAGAACTATGAAATAATTTTATGATATATTGAGGACTATGATTTGTTTAAAGTTATTCAAATGCTGAGGGAGGACAGCTGGACAGCTTGTGGGAGGACAGATGGAGAGGCGGAAGAAAGGATAGCCGCAGGTAGGACGGATAGACGAAAAGGCGGATATAAAGGACAAAAGGAAGCATAGATGGTCCATTGGACGGACGGACTAAAGGAAAGACAGAAGAACAGACGGATATACGGACAGCAGGAAGGACAAATAACTAGAATTACGGAAAGACGGATGGATGGGAGGACGGACAGACAAAAGACCAACAGACGGATGACGCATACAGACTGCAGAAAGGAAGAAAAGACGGGCAGAAAAATGGAAAGATGCTCGGAAGAATGGAAAGACGGAAATGGCATTCTAGGCCTATAGGCTTTAGGATAGAGTTAACGGCAATCTTTCATCCAGATTCTCATCACTCATTAATTAGATCAATCTAACTTTAACACAGTGGAACTACTAAGGGACAAAGTTATGAGCAGGATAATGATATTACGCTCATGACTGAATCTACTGTATAAAACAGAATTTGTTATCCATGCAAGCTCATTTCAACTAGTCCTCATTGATCGTTTTCTCCCCCTATCTCACTCTCTCTCTCTCTCTCTCTCTCTCCCTCTGTCTGTCTGCTTGAAAGCTAATTTGCCATTTGATTTCGGCAGGAAAATCGGCAATTTTCTTTGTATTGAAATAATGGCATGTGGGTCAAGCGCGGCCTTGCGGTACAACGTCTGCAAAGGAAGAGTCATTGCTGGCACCAAATATGATAAATGAATTGAGTTGAGCTGCTGTTGTTGTTGTTATTGCTGAGGCAAGTTGGCCAGACCCTCGAGTGGTGCGAATGGCCATTAGACATAAGAAAAGGAACAACTTTTACGCGAGTCACAAGGCGACGCGAGGCGACAGACAGGAGACACCGTAAGACAATCACCTGGGCGCGAGTTGAGTTGTTGCTGTTGTTGTTGGTGTTGCACGATGCCATTAGATGGCCAAGATGATCTTGGCCAAGTTAGTGCGCGTAGCCGATGGCCAATTGAGCTGCGCATATTTAAGCGCAAAATACGACAGTTATTA